TATGTTATTTAGATTATCGTTTTATCCAGAACACATTTTCCGGCCAATAGGTATACCCGCCGATTTTCAAGGGAACTAACTGTTGGTGATCCCAATAAGGCATCAGCCCGTTGTCAACCATGATCTTTATAATTTCCTTTCCACTTGGATTATTCTTATGCAAAACCCATTCCATTAATATACCTTTAACATTCACTGTTTGGAAGAAATTCTTTGCCGCTTTTAAAGCTTTAAGTTCTGTTCCCTCTATGTCCATTTTTACAAAAACGTCTTTGGTTTTAATCAGTGGAATTAAATCATCCAAAAAAATTGACCCGATGATGATTTGCCGTGACATTCTGTCAGTTTTTAAGGGTTTCACATATGATCCCCCGATATTATTTTCTACGACCTCAATCGTAACATTTTGACGTTCATCCGAAATGGCGTTATGTACCAACGTGACATTTTCTTTCAGTGAATTAATTTCTAAAGATTTGGACAAAAGAGCAAGATTTTTATCAAAAATATCCACCGATACGACCGGTATTCCGAGTTTAGCTGCAAACAGTGTATACACTCCAATGTTACATCCCAGATCTACGAACGTTATTTGTTGGTTCTTTGTCAAAATATCCCCGGTAGCATTGAGAAAATCCTGTTCCCAGGTAGCAAACTCATGAACAAATGCCGATATCATAGTGTCTTGCTTTGGGTCGTGGGTACATATTTTTATCATCCCCCTCCATGTTTGAAATGGAACACAAGGAGCACTCTTCAGTTTTTGGTAATAAAAGGTGTTTACGGCATTATTTTCAGGATTGTGATCGCTTGCTATTTTTGTCTGCTCCGGAGATTTTCGATCAAACTGATGAACGTAAAAGGAGTCGTGGATCGAGCTATCAATGTGGTCTCTTACTGTATGTTTTTTTATCTTCACTGACCTCTTGGCTTTTCTGTCCTCCCTGTCTTGCCTGTACAAATATGTCGACAAGCAAACGGCGATAGAAAACAGAATTCCTATAGTAATTATGACAGTTCTTCGTCTCCGTAACATGCACTAGGTATCTGTTACTCTTTAGTGTCAATGTATTTACTAGGACCTTTCTGCAAACATAAACATGTTATGTTACAAATGTCTCCTAGAGATTTTGACACGTGTTACAAGCAAAGTTAATTAGTCACTTAATCGGAAATATACACGTAACATTTCGTATTATTAATGCATTTGATGCATATAAAACTCATGTTTTTAATTCATGTATAAATAGAACAGTAAAATGCATAATACTACAGATTTAAATTATGCATGTATTGAACGCGTAGTTTATTGATTTAGATATTTTTCGTTTAGTAAAAGAATCATGTTCTTGATATGGAAAAGGTTGCAAAATTAACAGATGCATGTATATGTACAAAAGTTGACATGTTTATACCCCGACGGAACCAATACAATTGTAGTTAGCGTGAAATACAACTTTTGATCTCCATACAAGATAAATATATAAATCCTTTCCAAGTTGTCGGGATGTTTTGACCTATAATCGTTATATATTCTTTATATAAAAAGCTTACCGATCAGGTGAATATGACTTCCGTTATATGTACCTTAAATCAATGCCTGTGTCTACTGTTTATTATACAGGTAAGCGTTACCTGACGGGGCTCGCCACGGGATAAAAAATGAAGGTGGAATGCCACACCAACATTTTATTTTATAGATCCCTGAGTCAACCTTTTTAAACAATGGTTTCAGCATTGAAAGGCCGACATTATCTCTTACTTTTTTAAGAAGATTTATTTGTATTTTTTTTAAAGAAAATTTAAAAAATTATTTACGTCAAAATTAGATGCTTTCTTGCAAAAATTTTGCTGTAAATGAATGCAGCATATGAATATTTAATATAACATGTAAAGAAAAGCCGTATAGATATATATTAAAATTTAAATAAAAAAACATGAAAATAAAACAGGTAATTTGTGAATTTTTTTTTTAGACTTGCGGTTAAAATCTTCCTAAAACAAGTCATAACTGGGGAGAACATGTTCCTTAATCATGTGAATAAAAGACATTGAAACGAAATAGCCAAATTTTAGAGCATTTTTTAAACGAAGGCCCATACTTTTACGAATCCGGTTTTAATTTTACACACCAATGTAAAATTCAGATTATCACTTTTCCATTGAAATAAAATCTTTTTGGCTGATTGAAAATAATTAAGCAAGTATATATTTGTTTATTATAGCCTTATTGTGCATACAAAGCATTTAATATACCTTATTGATGGAAATTAACACTGCACTATGTCCATAGGATCTATATGTCGTTTGGTACATACACAGACTCAAAATCTTTTATTGCTTTAATGGACCAAAAGCTTTTTGATTTTCTTTTAAGTAAACTTACTTGAGATTTATTTTTATTGATTTTAAGTCTATTTCATCCATTTAAATTTTACTTTTTAAAAAAATTTCCAATGAATAATTGAAAAAATTGATATTCCAAAAATGGGGGTATACGTTTTCAAAAGACTGTTTTGTAATTAAGTATGTGTTTTTTGTTAACTTTAGGTATAATTATTAATAGTTTTAAAGAAAAAATGGCATCTAAACAGTTTAGATTATAACAAATAAAGATATTTTGAGAATTTTTTTTGAAAGACATGGACAGATTCAATGTCAGTTTGTTAATGTTTTGCAATAAAGATTTCACATATTCTTTTGGGAAATGAATATTTTTGATTTTCGTACGTTTTAACGAAAATTTGATGTGATTTGGTGCCTAACTAAATAACATATGATATCACACTTCTTTATGTTCCATTTTAGCTGTTGAGTTTTTAGAGGTATGTGCTCTGAGACATGTTGTATGAAAATTAACCTGCAAAGATATGTCTTTTATGGGTGTTTTAGTTAGTTTAAGACTTATTTAAGATATTTGAATAAAAAATTATCAGTTTGACAGAAAATTCTAAAATTACGGACCAACCCTAATTTATTCTAATCGTGCTGATCAAAATTAAACCATAATTATATAATTATTGGAAATAAATTAAATAACATTTCCCCAAGAACGCTAGTCTGATTAGATGTAATAAGGATTAAAACATTATTTAACTTGACAATCAAAAATTGTTTTTACTTTATTAAATACATTCATTTTTATTTAGATAAGTATAAATCATTTCATTTAAAGTCTTTAACATTTTTGTCAAGTATATTTTTACTTTCTACCCGCATAGCTTAATTAAATATCAAATCAAAATATGGGGTCAATATGCTTCTTTTAACGCTACAGTACATTAAATATGACCTTTTTGCACTGAAATCTGTGTCTTTATCAAAAATTACATTTTCAGTGTTTTCTCTCCAATATTTTAAAATTGGGACTAAGAAAAAGTTTCAAATTGCTTAGCATAATCAATTATTTGACTTTTGTACGCTGACAAAATGTATATTTTCTGGCATTGTAAATTTAATAAGCAAGAGAATCATTTCTTTTTTCACTTCTGGATTATCGAAAACAGAAGGATTGATGGTTTTCATATTGCCCCTAAATCTATTAATACGCGATTTTAACATGGATCTGATAAATTTAATCCATTCTGATAAAGCGTCAACGTCTTCTTTTTTATATTGGCCCATCGTCTGGGATAATCTTCAACAGAATCCATGATATTAATGAAAATACGACGCCAGTTGAAAGATCTGGGTTTCCTTTATTTAGGACCCTTTAAAATAAGTGATATAAGGTCCTCATCATTAACTATATTTACGTCACCTGTAAGAACATGTCCAACAGGGTTATACTTATTGGGGGAAGAAGAACATGAACACGATGGAGGATTATGTTTCTGAAACTCGATACTCATCGAATTGCCACCTTTCCTAAGGATTAAGATTAAAGTTAAAATTTGTGAAAGTGCAAGGATGTGTCAATCAAACCCGCCAAAGAATTTGAAGTTTTTATATTTTTTAAATGAAAAAAGATCTTTAATTAATTTTTACCATCAGAGGTGTTAAACAACTCTTTTGAAAAATCCGTCGTCAATTCAGTGTATAGATAATGGATTAACAATTAGCATGAAAAACTTCAGTCAGCATTTGACTCAATGATAAATTGTTTTTGCTGGCAAGCCGCTGAAGGTCATTGTATCGACCAAAGAACTAAAGAAATGATGACTTTAAACCAGACTGCTGATATTCTTGTTTCATCAACTTGTTTGTCAATAATTTACCTCGTTTTAGAAATTGTTCATACATAGAACATGCTCTTGTGTATAGAAAATATAAACGATATATGCAGGTGAAGAAGGTATATTGCTGCATAAATAAGGAAGTTGACGATAGAAAAGTTAAAGTCATCAAGTTTATCACAGAGCTTGCTTATTAGAGTACCATTATCGTCTTCATCAAGTAAAATATCCTACCTTTCATCTCAAGATCATCAGGATATATCGTATCGACATAAAAAATGGAAATAACCATTGTTAACAACACCATTTCATCAACAACACAACAGCAAGAGGCTTATGCATATAAAATTATATTTTTTATAGGTGCTTATGGAACGCCGTCACTGCCTTATAACAGAACACTACAATTGCATTGTGTCAACTTTCAATTCCATTATGTCAACACTTTGTGACATTTACTTACAGTACTATTGCATTAAGTCAACTTTCCATTACATTATGTCAACTCTTTATGACATTTACACACTCTACTATTGCGTTATATTATACTTTTATGTAAATTACTTGAATCTGATTCGTCGAGAAACATTTGATAAAAAACACTACTACCCGCTGAATAATGAAGCCACGCCCTCCTGCGTAGCAACAGTCAACATTGCTTGACAACAGGTGGTATTCCAAAAAATAGCGACTGCGCGGAATTTATGCGCGCACGGTTCACTGTAATATGTTTTTGTATGAAACTTTCAGTATAATATAATAAATATTGCATGTAGTTGAGTGTAACATTGAAAATTTTCACCCCTCGAAAACCATTGTCAACAATGGTTTTCTTGGGGTGGAAATTTTCAATGTTACACTCAACTACATGCAATATTTATATAATGTCAACTTTCCATTACATTATGTTAACTCTTTATGACATTAACCCACACCACTATTGCATTGTGTCAATCTTCCATTACATTATATCAACTCTTTATGACATTTACACACACTACTATTGCATTGTGTCAACCTTCCATTACATTATATTATACTTTCATGTAAATTACTTGAATCTGATTCGTCGAGAAACATTTGATAAAAAACACTACTACCCGCTGAATAATGAAGCCACGCCCTCCTGCGTAGCAACAGTCAACATTGTTTGACGACGGGTGGTATTACAAAAAATAGCGACTACGCGGGATTTATGCGCATACGGTTCACTGTAATATGTATTTGTATAAAACATTCAGTATAATATAATAAATATCGCATGTAGTTGAGTGTAACATTGAAAATTTTCACCCCTCGAAAACCATTGTCAACCTCGGCTGCGCCTCGGTTGACAATGGGTTTCTTGGGGTGAAAATTTTCAGTGTTACACGCAACTACATGCAATATTTATATAATGTCAACTCTTTATGACATTTACACACTCTACTATTGCGTTATGTCAACATTCCATTACATTATATTAAGTCTTTATGGCATTAACGCGTACTTCAATTACATTGCGCCAATCTTCCATTGCATTATATCAGCTCTTTATGACATTAAGTCAAAACAATTTTACGTGGTGTAAAAATGTTTTTATATAATTTCAACTCATTATTACATTATGTGCACTCTCTACTATTTGGTCTAAGTAGTTCATTACATTATGTGAATTCATCTTTAATTCAATATCAAGTCGCTATAACACGATGTCAGAATTTCATTACATGATGTGAAAAAAATTGTCACATGTGGCCAATTCTTTACTGTATTGTGTCATCAATATGCTACATGACGACGGGAATCTATCACATGATGTCAATTTTTCCTTACTTTTTGACAAATCATTATTATGTTATGCCATTGTATCTTTATTACATTGTGTCTAAAATGCTTAG